CACATTAATCAAAACAGGAACCAAAAGACTTGGTTCACGCATCAGTCAGTCAAAAACAAATACCAAAATAAAAAATCGAACAAAGCTTAACACACAACGGTCACATTATAAAACGTGACTCATAGTCATTGTTCCATTATATTGAAAAGCGTCATTCCTTCGGCCAGAGAGGCGCACAAGGAACAAGTTACACATTGTCACTGTTTCACTTTTAAAGTTCGTCCAATTTTATCAATCTTCTAAGCGTTTTGAAAGAAAGTCAGACTGTAGTATAATAACATTTTGTCGTATTAATATTTGTACATTATCATAAGGCATGATTATTTTTAATAACAGCTAGTTAGTACACCATAATCATCCGGAGGCAGTTTTAGTGTAAACTATTTCTAGTTTAAATTTATTTAGAATGTTGAAACTCTTTCTCGACAGGCCCCTATTAACAAATAGCTTTGGTGCTATAAGGCTTTAACCTTGGACTGTATAGCATCACGTCATTATGGCGCGTGTGACAAAGCAAGAACGTGATTGATCTCATATAGATCGTTGAATTGGATTACGAGTGTGGGTTCCTTTAAGGTTGTATTTCCGGTTGGAATTAGCTCACCTCGAGCTTACAGTCGGTCCAGAAAAGAAAATACCGAGATAAGGATGCAAATTTGAAGATACACTCTAAAAACAGGTGTGTTCAATTACACACCAAGGTGTGTTTAATTACACACCAAGGTGTGTTTAATTACACACCAAGGTGTGTACATTTTACACACCTTCCTATACAATTTTAGAAAACACACCTTTGTGTGTTAGAAAACACACCATGATGTGTTAGAAAACACACCATGGTGTGTAACAAAACACACCTAGGTGTGCTAAGAAACACACCTGTTTTTTACACACCTTTTCGTACACACCTTTGATGCATATAAGGTGTGTTCAATAACACAACTTTTGAATGAAAACACACCATGGTGTGTTCGGGAACACACCTCATACTAATTTGCAAAAACACATCTTGGTGTGTTAGATAACACACCCTACGCCGATTTTGGAAAACACGCGTGCACGGTGTGTACTGAAAAATGCTTTTTAGTAACATACAATAAATCCAATCATCAATCACGGTAATGTATGCTATAATATGTTTTTCGGATATATACAGTAGATGTAAATGGCGATATCGACTTTGCCGGCGATATCAAGTTTTACGTGTCTAATAACCGTTTGATATTTGTTGTGTAGTATTTCATTTTTTCGCATGTAGTAAGAGCATTACTGGGACTATTTATTTTCTAAGAGATTAATCTGTCTTTAGCACACCATTAATATCTGAAATATAGCCGGTAACTGGCCTTTTGAAGCTCTTCGGATCGAAAGAAACGAAAATTCTCACGATGAGCGCGATTTTACAGACTGGTGCCTAGTTTTCGTACTACGCGCGCAAAGCTTCCCGGGATAGCGTCATTTATTCACACCGCCATTACGCCATATTTTTCAAGCCTTCATTCTGAATTTATGGTTCGAAAAATTCGCTTTTTTTAAGCGACGACGAATGATTTGAACGAAGAGGTAACAGCGAGCATGACTGAATAACATTCAGGTAAGCATATTGTTATGTTATATGTATAATGGAGCAGTTTTGAAAGTAAATATTCGCTATCTTCATTCATGAATTTTGAGCATGTGTTCATGTTTAAAATTTGAATTTGCCGCGATAATATTTGAATTAAAAAGATGATATATTAGTTTTATAGAAGGCTTACATTTGACTTTATATTAAATTATGTTTATTGTATAAAGGGCAACTAATATTTGTGTATATGAATATATGACAGACTACCAGATAACAATGTTTCTGGTATAAAGTATAAATATAGCTTGGCATCTACTCAATCATCATATGCTCAACTACACATGCCCCAGCTAAACATGGTTTGAGAAAATATAACCACTTGTTTCAAATCAACTGCTACTTTCATAAGTTTCTAATTTTTATATATCTAGGTTTTTTATGTCCAAATTCTTCAATCAATGAAAAAATCTATTTCACTGTTAGAGGTGTTATGCACCAGTCAATGAAAACCTATACAACTCAGCCCCTCCACCCCCCGAATATAAGCCCAGTAGCTCACTATGTTATTCAACATTGACATTGTCTTTTAATTAACCCATTAAGCTGTGGAGCTTCCCCATTAACAAGTAAAATTGTCTGGCATAAGACAAGTAAAAAAATAGGTAAGGCACACTGGGGCGCATTGCGGCTTGATGGGTTTACCAGAGACATTGTCAAATTTTTTGATCAACCCATTAAGCTGCAGAGTTTCCCCATTGACGAGCAAAATCGTTTGGCGTTAGACAAGTGAAAAAAAAGTAGAGCGCACTGGGGCACGTTGTGGCTCAATGGGTTAATATATCAGAGAACAATATTTAAAAACATTGTCTTTATAGCTTAAGTCAACAACAAAACGTCGTTAATTAATCAAAGTGCATTATTACTATGTGTTTATTTTCCTGTTTATGACTGACTTGTTTATTATACTAACACAAAAGATTGAATGTCCATGTATAAGCTCTATCCCTCCTATATACTGTAACCCCCCCCTTTGTATAAGCCCACCAAATATATAGCCCAGGGTTTATAGTCCGAGATTTACGGTATTCCATGAACCCATTAAGATGTGATGTTGTGATGGATTAACAGACTGTGTGTGCATGTCTCAGTTACCATTAGCACTTACATACCCTAATTTAACCCATTAAGCTGCAGAGCTTCCCCGAGTTTTCCCGTTTCCTAGGATAGAGGCCTCATCACGATTTATGAATAAGGTCTATAGTACTCTGATTTTCCATTTAACATACGAGCCTCTAGTCCTGGGATAGGTACATTTTGATTTACGTTGGACAAAGCTACAGTTCTGTCGGACACCAATACACTCAGGTCGAACAAACAATAAACCTCAATTTCACTTTGGTCGGACAGAATGTCTGGTGGTTTCCTCTCTACGTCAGACAATTTCACTAATGGTCGGACAATGTCCATGACCGACCGATATTTTAAGGCCTGCATAGCCGGATTAACCCTAACCCGTAGCTAAAATTTATGTATTTCTACATACAGTATCTTTTTGTTTTAAAATTATGAAAAGAAAACTCCTATGGTACTGATCCAGACAAGATGTCTAAAGAAATATGTCCAAATTTATAAACAAACTGTTAGGAACTTTGCTTAATCTAAGGTTAACTTATCGGCTTTCAAAAAATCAACCCCTACATGGTGATTTTGTTTGTCAATGGGGAGTGTGTTGGACTTAAAAGGTTTTAACCTTTAATTGAAACTAGATTGTCTGCCCACATTTTGTGTTAACACATTATTAAGATAAAAGCCAGACTACTTTAAGTACTTCATGATTTTACTATGTCTAACATCAGAGGGTCACATTTCATATTAACCCTTTTAGATGCAAAGGACATTTTAGTCATCCAGAGGGGGAGGGAGTCCAAGAGTAGAATCTTCTGAGACTGATAATAGTAAGATGTACTAAGACATCAATGGAATGGTGGAGGGGGGTTAAATTCCAAGTTTCTTTGTATGTCATGCTTGAAGGTTTCAAGAATGGATAGATCGGCTTAGATAAAAATGTCAATTTGATGTTTTGTGTGACAACTTGAATATAGACATCTCCCTAATCGGAAACAGTTAAAGTCCTTAGTTTGTTTGTTCAAACTCATGAATACATTTAGCTAGCTACACCACCCACATGATCTGCTTAGTAATATATGTAACAACCCAATTCACTCCAATTAACCCAGTTTTCAGCACTTTCTTAAATTATGTCACCTTTCCTAATGCCGGACAAGTTAATTTGTGTGTAGCTAGATTTTGCCCATGTTTCATGTTGACATATTTAGATGCAATTTTCCCTAACACTCCCTACTTTAAGTACTTTAATATTGAACTGTGACGTCTCATGCTAGACAATTTTACTTATCGACTGCATGGACTCATTTCACCTATTAACACCGAAGAAACAATTTCCTCTTAAATGTTGCCTACTTTCGGTTCTTTCTAGGGGTGTGCAGGACAGAGTATTTCTGCTATCCAGCCAGATACAGGATATGCTGGATGGCTGAAAAATATCCAGCCCGATTAAGGGTATTATTCAAATAATTATATAAGGTTCAGGCATCATTTAAGGTTAAGTACTGGTAATAATTTTATTTGGTTAAAAAGTAAACAGTCTAAAACTAGTAAACCTGCATCATTGGTAGCAAACCTGCATCGTTGGTAGCAAACATGCATCACTGGTAACAAAAGCCTCGTTTACATCAGTTAAAAGTTCAAATCCCCATTTACTGTACAAACAAGCATTGAAAATACTGATCATATTTATCATATTTTTACTTCAATGATCATGATATGATAACCTTATCAAATCATTTTCTAACCTGAAAAGAAGGCCTGAACCCTATATGAATAATATCCGGCATTGTGTAGCCGAATACCAGATAATGAATTAAAATCTTAATATCCGGCCAGATACAGTATCAGTCCATTGCATCCTATGTCTTGAAATGCCAAACAAATTAACTTGTTAAATGACTGTATATTGATATTCAATATACTTAGCTAATATATGCACCCTTTTATTGTTAACCCTTTGAGCAGCAATGTGCCCAAGTGCACCCTACTTTGTTATGTTGCACTTAACTAACACCAGACATTTTACTTTGTGAAATGCCAGACAATTTTACTCTTCAAGAGCAGTGTCCTGCTCACTAATGGTTATCCAAACTATCTGCCAATGTGCCTTGATAACCAATTAGGCCGAAATGCACCCAAATGGACCCGCCTTTGTTATTTTACTCTGTGAAACGCCGGACAATTTTAGTCATCAAGAAGAGAGTCCTGTGTGCTAGTGGGTTAAATGACTTAATTACATATGTTATATATAAACTTAAGCTGTTAGATTGTCCCATTGTATATTAATTTTTTACTTATCTTGACACAGGCTTGTATGTTGGATTGATATGACTACCTGTAAATATGGTTAAACTTGGCTATGTGATTCAAAGGTTGTGGTTCACCGAGCGATAAAGAAAATGATACAAAGATGGAATGATTGGATGCAAGTTATCAGTTACAGTGTTTCATATGACAGGTATTCTGATTGTGGAAGATGTGGGCTTGCAATATTTTGACAATTGCATGGCTGTAAAGTACGAGACAATTAATATAGTACTCCATTACTCTAATTGCCAGAACACTGCATCAGAATGAGAAGTTGCCTGTTACAGTTCGGTTTAGTAAAAGTACATAGTAAAAGTACATAGTCAACTATGTAAAATGTAATTTAGTCAGTGTCAAATAAATATTTTGTCATGGATAAACTCTGTGCAAATGAGCATGTCTCTAATGTCATTTTACTTTTAATAAGAATATGTAGATGTGTTTTCTAATACACCTCCTTAGGTTTGCTGTGTTATTATAGCATCTTTTGTAAGTGTGTTATGTAACACACCTTAGTGTGTTATGAAACACACCTTACAACGTGCTGTAAACATTACAGACCTGAATGGTGTGTTATACAGCACAGCTTTAGGTGTGTTTTAAAACACGCCATGGTGTGTATGAAAACACGCCATGGTGTGTATGAAAACACGCCATGGTGTGTACGAAAACACGCCATGGTGTGTTCAAAAACACACCTTTATACAAAACACACCTTAAGGTGTGTTAAAATCTGGACAAGCCGAAAACACACCTTAAGGTGGGTTTTAGAACACACCTTAAGGTGGGTTTTAGAACACACCTTAAGGTGTGTTTAACACACCTTAAGGTGTGTTAAACACACCTTAAGCTGTGTTACAAAACACGCCAAAAGCTGTGTTAAACACACCTTAAGGTGTGTTTTAAAACCCACCTTAAGGTGTGTTAAAATTTGGACAAAAAGGTGTGTTAAATCAACACACCTTTTTTTAGAGTGTACCAAAGAATATATTGGCATGACTTCGACAACCTTCAAGAAGCGTTTTGCGAATCACAAAACCTCGTTCGAAAACCCAGACAAACGAATTTCCACCGAGCTATCCAAATACATTTGGCAATTAAAGAAGGAGAAACGCAGATTCAGTATTAAATGGACTTTACTGAAACAAACTCCTTCCTATCGCAGCGGCCCAAAAAACTGTGATCTTTGTCTGCAGGAAAAATTGCAAATCCTGAAAGGTGATAAGACAAAACTATTGAACAATAGGTGTGAACTTTTCTCGAAGTGCCGCCACCGGAAGCGATTCCTCGCGGGAAAGTTTGAACGTGCGTGCGCTGTGCCATCGCGCGTATAATTCAAACATCAGTCCAACGTCATCATACGGAAGATTCAACCGTCACTTGCAACACCGTCACCTGATGATCGCACTCAGCGTGAAACTCAGAGTTGTGACTCAATTTTAGGTTAAAATACTATATATATATATATATATATATTCCGTTTGTTGCGCTTGACGGCATTCAATGACTAGCTCGGAAAAAACGACTAGCTCTACGGCCATTTTATATCGACACATATTTTGTTTGTTTAATATTAAATAACCAGTGGAAAGAGGAGATAAATTTGTACAATGTATGAAAGTTTTAAAAAGTCCTATTGAATAGCAGCTGAGAAATTAATAGTTTGAAATTATTGGCTAATTGTATATATTATAATATTTATTGGAACAGTATAGTTAGCTGTTAGGAAAACATCGTTTTGAATAGCTTTGAGGTACGTTTATTGACTTGTGTGTAGAAAACTATAAAGGTACTAGTTTGCTAATATGAACGGTATAGTTTTCTTTTTTACTAATTCATTTGGGAGAGAAGAAATGGCTATAATATTCATTTTGACTTCGGAGTGATTGAAATGAGTCAGTTTACAGCACATCGAATGTCATGTTGAATATAATGCGTACTTCACAGTGGTTGTTTTGAGACGAGTTTCGTTCAGCTACTGTCGTCATAATAATTAATACCCAGTCTTCCTGTTGAAGACTTCACATTGCGACGCTGTTGAGTAAAGCTCGTTTCACCGTTCATACTTTTAATCGAGAATTGTTGCCAGCAGCTAGACACGTTCTTAGACAAGGACAATAATAGTAAGCCCAATGAATTGCAACAGTTATTGGAGAACAAAACGTGCCGAACAGTAATTTGTCAAGTAGCAAAATACACCAAAATGTAATCAGAAGGGGAGAGGTGGCAATTTGCCCCGGGCCCCCAGTGTAAGGGGCCCCCAAATTTGGAAAATAAAAAATAAATTTGGAACGTTTTTTGATATAAGTATTGGGTTGAGAAAAAACTTTCTAAATTTTGCAGATATTGGTCCAAAAAAGGGTTTTACCAACGTAATTTCCGAAAAATATTTTTTGAACCTCTCTGGCTTAACCGATGTTATTCTCAAAAAAAATTTTTTGACCTTTTTTTTTGGAACGTCCGGAAAATTTTTTTTGACCTTTTTTTCGAACGTCTGGAAAATTTTTTATCCCCCTCCCCCCCCCCCGAACATTTTTGGAAAAAATAGGGTCACGAAAAAATTTTTTCCCAAAGTTCTCTAATAGGCCCTGCGGCCGTTGAAATGACCGGCAAGAACTTGTCAAATCCAAATAATACTGCAATAAATAATAACACTAATTCAGTGCCAACTCCAAGTATGAACTATTTAATGCATGGGTTTTTCCAGCACAAACTACAACTAGTTCAACAATGGCATCACCTCGATCATCTGAACCAAACTTGAGTACTGCAAATATGGACTCACAACATCACCCGACCTCAGGCCCACACAATCCTACGCCATCTTCCAACTCTCATGCGATGACCAGCATGCCTCAAAATTTTCCTGGAATGGCTATGAACCAGGGGGGATGGCCGTGAACCAGGGTGGAATGGCGGTGAACCAAGGTGGAATGGCCTTGGAGGAGGTGAGTTAGATTAAAATAATTGATTTTATTTCCAGCTAAATAATCAAGGTTAAATAATCCCTTATTTTACTTGAGTTTGTGTTCTAGATCTTTCTTCATTGTTTATTAACTGATTGTTGAATGGATCTAAATGAGCCAATTGTGGAATCATGGTAGTTTAGTTAAATAGCCGCAAATTCCATCATGGCGCTTGCTTTGAGACAAGACTTGATGATAATATCTAGTATATACGATAATGAGATACACATTTCTGACTATGAAATCGTACGGCGTGACAGGTCTATGTGTAGTGCTAATGGGAAAACATATGGGGGCGTTTGCTTCTATGTGCGCTCTAGCATAAATTTCCCGCCTCGCCTGGATCTGTCTAGCCATCAACTAGAAAATTTGTGCATTGAAATTCGAAAACCTAGTTCTAAGCCATTCATTGTTTCGACTTGGTACAGGCCGCCTGATTTTACCAACGATAAATTTTCTTATTTCGAGTCGTTTATTGGTAGGCTTGATTCAGAAAATGTCGAATATTATCTTTTAGGCGATCTAAATTGCGACCTTGGCGCATCTGTTTTGGACCATAACTCTAGGTCATTAACCGACATTGCTGACTTATATGGTATGCATCAGCTGATAAATGAACCCACACGTGTTACTGAGTCATCTTCGACTATAATCGATCACATTTTTACTAATGCTCCAGATAAGGTTGTTTTCTCTGGTGTTTCACATGTCGGCATTAGTGATCATAGCTTAATTTATGCTTTTCGAAAGCTTTCAACAGGCATTTACAATAAAGGTCATTCTACCGTGACATATAGAAAATTTAAAAACTTTGACCTTGATAGTTTTCGGTCTGACATTTGTGCACAGAATTGGACTGCTGTAAACAACTTTAATGATCCAAATGATATGTGACGGGTTTGGAAAAACACATTTAATAATGTTGTTGAAAAGCATGCTCCTTTACGCACGAGGCGTGTCAGATCTTCTAAGTCACCGTGGATAACGCCTGAATTAAAACAACATATGCACAAAAGAGATATTCTAAAAGTTAAGGCTATTCGTTCAAAAGATCCTAATGACTGGGCTGCATTTAAGACGTTCCGAAACTATGTAACAAATGAAATTAACTACTTGTTAAAGAAACTCATTATCAGAACGCATTCCATCAAAACAAACAAAATATGAAAAAGACTTGGGGAATTGTAAACGAACTTACTTCAAGGAAGCAATTTAGTTCACAAGTCAAGGAAGTTAAAACAAATGGTTCCTTAGTCAGTGAACCTAATGAGTTATCCGAGGTGTTCAATGATCATTTTGCTAGTATAGGCTCTAAGCTTGCTCAGAAAATTCCCTATATTGGGAATGGTGGTGCACAGCTTGATTACTTGCCAAGTCAATCTAATGATAATTTTCGACTAAATACAACTAGTCCGTCGGTGGTTGGTACCCTCTTGTCTAAACCTTGTAAATCTAAAGCCACGGGTTTGGATAAGATATCAGCCAGATTACTTTGCGATTGTTCCGACCTAATAGCCGATTCAATATGTGCAATTTTTAACTGTTCTATTAACTCTGGTACATTCCCCAACGAATGGAAATGCTCAAAAGTCATTCCATTATTTAAAAAGGGAGAGCGTAGGGATTTAAATAACTATCGCCCAATTTCTATAATTCCAGTGGTGGCGAAAGTTTTTGAGAGAATTATTTATGATCAAGTTTATGCCTATCTTATGGATAATAACCTCTTATCTAATTGCCAGTCAGGGTTTCGAACTCTTCATTCCACTGTCACCGCACTTCTTGAGGCTACTAATAACTGGTCTTACAATATTGACCGAGGCAACGTTAATGCCGTCGTTTTCTTAGACCTCAAGAAGGCGTTTGATACTGTTGATCATGCAATATTGCTGTCAAAGTTAAGCGTATATGGTTTTGGAGGTTCTACAGGCAACTGGTTTAGGTCCTACTTAAATGATCGCAATCAAAAATGTTATGTCAATGGTCATCTGTCCAGTCAACGCGTATTGCCTTGCGGTATCCCGCAAGGGACTATCTTAGGACCTTTGCTTTTCCTTATCTACATTAATGATTTACCAAATTGCCTGACACATTCCCAACCACGTATGTACGCTGATGACACTAATTTAACATTTGCTAGCAATAATGTTGATGACATGGACTATAAGCTTAATCAAGATCTTGATAATGTCAATAAATGGCTCATAGCCAATAAGCTAACTCTCAATCAATCTAAAACAGAGTTCATGCTAATTGGGTCAAGACAAAAATTAAGCACGTTACACTCGGCCCCTTCCTTAGCAATCAATGACATCCTGTTCGCCAAGTTTCTCAAACGGAGTCCCTTGGGATGAAGCTTGATGAAAACCTGTCTTGGAATGCCCATATCAATGATTTAATAAAAAAGATTGCTTCTGGTATTGGTGCTTTGAAACGTGTACGTTCTTTTATTCCTGCTACAACGTTGAAGCTTGTTTACAACGCTCTAGTTCAGCCTCATTTCAGCTACTGTTGTTCAGTTTGGGATAACTGTAATAAAACTTATGCTGAAAAGCTCCAAAAATTACAAAATCGTGCAGCCAGGGTTTTAACATTCTCTAGCTATGACACTAATGCCGATTCACTCTTTGAAAAGCTCAATTGGAAAACACTTTCCTTTCAGCGTAAAGTTCAAAAGGCTGTAATGGTCTATAAATCTCTTAATGGTTTAGCTCCCGACTATATGCACTCCATGTTTACTGATCGTCAAAGTGTAACTTCAATCCAATTGCGTGACACTGAGAATAAATTAGCTGTTCCTATGCCTCGCACAAACTATTTGAAAAACAGCTTTAGTTATAGTGGCGCTGTGCTGTGGAACAGTCTTCCAATCGGGTTACGGCAAGCACAGTCCCTTGACAATTTTCGAGCGGGCTGTAGAAGTCTTTTATAAATTTTAATGGCTATTTTTAATACACGGCCCTCATGGAAAGCAGGTATAGAGATAACTTTGTAACCACCGTAGTTTTTGTAATATAGTTTAGTTAATGTAGCCCATATAATGTAAATCCTGATGAGTAATACCGTGCCTAAATAAAGTTTTATTAATAATAATAAATAATAATCTCTAATCAGGACATGTTTATACATAATTATGATCTTATTAGAGCGGATCGCTCACGAACGGGAGGTGGCGTCTGCTTATATGTAAGAAATTCCATTAATTATCTCGATCGAAATGACCTGGTTGGGGATAATCTTGAAGCACTTTGTATCGAAATTCATAAACCCTCTAGTGCACCCTTTATTCTCGAAACCATTTATAGGCCTCCAAGTGCCTCTGTCGACTCATATGCCAATATTGAGCAATTAATCAAATCAATAGATGATGAAAATAAAGAATTTTACCTACTTGGTGACTTAAATGCTAATGTGCTAGATAATTCAAACAATACCACAAAACATTTGAATTCAATAATTGAATTATATCAATTATCGCAAACAATAAGTGACTCGAATTTTATGGATTATTTAACGAAAACTACAATAAGTGTTTTCAAATTTCAAGCAGTTTCTGTGGCCAAAGTAAATAATTTTTTTCAGTCCTTAAATGCCTGTAAATCTACTGGAATTGATAAAATTCCTGCCAAAATAATTCGAATTGCTGCTCCAGTAATTGCTGACCCGTTTATAACAAAGATTTTCAATACGGCAATTTTTAATGAAACTTTTCCATTTGAATGGAAAATAGCAAGAGTTACTAATACCTTTACACAAAAAAGGTCCACGAAACTTATTAAATAATTATCGTCCTATTTCCATTCTACCTGTTATTAGTAAAGTTTTTGAAAAAATACTATATGAACAGTTATATGATTATTTTGTCTCGAATAATTTGCTATCTGATCGTCAATTTGGCTTTAGACAGTTTCATTCCGTAGCATCTGCCCTTTTAGATAACACAAATGAATGGTTTGTTAATATGGACCGTGGTAAAATTAACATCGCAGTATTTCTTGACTTACAAAAAGCTTTTGATACTATAAACCACAATATTTTACTTAAGAAACTTGATATGTATGGCATGGAATTACCAGCCTTAAATCATTAAAAAGTTATTTAACTAACAGAACTCAAATGTGCTCAGTTAACGATGTATTTTCCGGTAGAAAGATTGTTAGGTGTGGAATTCCTCAAGGTTCCATTCTTATCCCACTACTATTCTTAATCTATATAAACGATTTGCCGGACAGTTTCGAGTATTCGTTGGCAAGAATGTTTGCCGACGATACAGCATTAAGTGCCTCAGGCGAAACAATTTCTGATGCTGAAGTAGCCATCATCATGACCTTGCAAATGTTAAACAATGGCTCTCTGCAAATAAATTATCTCTAAATGTTGTCAAAACTGAACACTTATTAATCGGATCTAGGCATAATATCAATAACTTATCTCTCGTTCCCAAAGTGTATGTCGGCGACATACCAATTAAAAGGGTAGAAGAATTAACAAAGGCACTTGAGGTCTATATTGATGAATTTTTTATCTTGGAATAAACACATTAAAGAAATCTCCAAAAATATCTCATCCGGAATTGGGGCGGTCAGAAAACTAAAATCTTATGTTGATCACAACACATTATTATGCGCTTACCATGCACTAGTTTTACCGCATTTTGATTATTGCTGTGAAGTTTGGAATATTATAAATTTGACACTTTCTGATCGTTTACAGAAATTACAAAATCACTTGCAAGTACATGTTCTATTCTGAGTACACACTGTTCATTTGACAACTGATATTTTCTTCTCAATTCAGCATGTTCAGTTGTGTTCTGTGTGTTCTCTCTCTCCGTGTTTCGTCTAAATGTGTTTATACCCATCATCTAATTTTATCATCTAAATGTACTAATAAAATTATTGTGAATCTTTCGCTGTTGTGATCTGCCTGCCCGATATCTAGCCCTTTTATATACGGTTATTACGTACAGGTAGCCTGTACCTATATTTGATATACTATACTAAGTAAATTTTAATAGTTTTTTCTTTACAATAAATTGTTGTTGTAATATCAGGCTTTATATTGCCAGATGTTTGTTGTTCAGATGCAGTATTTTTATCAGTAGTATTTAGAATAGAGTCACAGCTTAGAACATGCTCTTAACTGTTTGTCTACATGATAACTTAAGGACAGTTGGTAATACGCCAAATGATTTCTTTCCGCCAGGAAAATGCAAAGAGAAAATATTATGGCTTTTCAATGGCTGTTCATCTTTATGCAATAAATTCAGCCATGTCTCCTGTAAGCTGGACTCTTGAGGGAATTTCGGCGAAAAAACAATTCTGGATATTTTACACTTTTGCTTCTACAAAGTGGCACACAACAGGTCGTACCTCAGTACTTTTTGTCCTCGGTATGTTCTCCCCTTTTACTTTCCATTTTTGCGAGAAGAAAACTAGTTCAGAAACAGTCCAAAACCAGCCAAGGAGATAGTCGAACAAGCGAAGAATATTAGTGCAATTTTTTGTAGTTGAAAACGTCCTTAAAACACTCGACAGCACTGAACACAGCATTTAAAAGCACTTTTTTACAACAGCGAAAATATTTAAAATGAAAAAGCTCAGTTTTCAAACGGTTAGTTTTCGCGCGAAACAAGCCCAATGTTTTTGTTTGTGAAAAGAACACTTGATCAGACATGTGTTGTTTTAGGCCCACCCACTGGGCAGATCTAGTGTGAGAACATCTTCGTGTCTGAAACCGCTTGAAATGAGTCGATCGCCGTATTTCCCCTTTTAAACAATGATCCACAATGTGTTCCTTATGTAAGAAGTAATTTATCCAAGTTAATTTAACCAAAGTTCATTGCAGAAACTACTAGTCTTATCAACATGTGGAACTCAGATTCAATGGAAATGAAAGATGTTGCCCTGAAAGCTGTGATGGTGATGCCTGCTTTACTCCTTCAGAAACCATCATTTAAATCTAAATGTAAGCAACATAGTGAGTGCTTACAAAGACGGTTGAATTTGTGGAAATTGGGAGATTTTAATGGTTTGTTAAAAGAGTGCAGAGCAATTCAATCTCGACTCCAATCAACTTGGAAGCCAAGATCGCCTGAACACGGCTCTCGTACGTTTGCTAACTTAATGCTTTCTGGTAAAGTCAACGCTGCCATGAGATTACTGGATGACACTTCAACGTCGGGCGTTCTTCAGTTATCAGAGGATACATTACGAGAACTGAAAGCAAAACATCCTGAAGCTATGGAAGCAGATAAAGAAATGTTAATCACAGGACAAGTACCATTTGTTGATCCAGCCATGTTTTCAATAATCGATGAGTCGACGATAGCCAGAGCAGCTCTACATACAAAAGGTGCAGCAGGCCCTTCAGGATTAGATGCTGACGGTTGGCGAAGAATACTCGTATCCAAAAACGTTGGCACTGCAGGGACTGAACTTCGCTCAAGTCTTGCTGAGATGGCCCGTATTCTCTGTACGAAAGAACTGAAAGCTGAATGTGACCATCAATCTTCAATAGAAGCGTACGTAGCATGTCGTTTGATACCTCTTGACAAATGCCCGGGGGTGAGGGCCATTGGTACTGGCGAAGTCATCGGACGCATAATTGGAAAGTCGATCATCTCTGTCATCAAACCTGATATTTTAATGAGTACTGGATCACTTCAACTTGCAGCTGGTTTACCATCGGGATGTGAGGCAGCAGCCCATGCCATGGAGGAGATTTTCCAAGACGAGGAAACTGATGCCATTCTATTCGTTGATGCGTCTAACGCCTTCAATTCTCTTAATCGCCAAGTGCTTCTCCATAACATTCGCTATCTTTGTCCTCCTATGGCAACGTATGTTAAAAACTGCTTTGGCTCACCGTCACGATTATTTGTAATGGGTGGCAAAGAAATCTTATCGCAAGAAGGAGCAACTCAGGGAGATCCAATGGCAATGCCAGCGTATACAGTTGGAATCGCACCATTACTGCAGATGATAAAAGTTCAAAAAGATGATGTTAGCGCTGCGAGTGATAAGAAAATGAAGCACGCAGCGTATGCTGATGATTTCGGTGGCGCAGGAGTCCTTGAGTGTTTGCGAACGTGGTGGAATCAAGTTGTTGACTTTGGTCCTCTCTTGGGATACTACCCGAAAGCCTCGAAGTCTTGGTTAGTTGTGAAAGAGGACAGAGTAGAGGCTGCGAGAGAGATATTCACGGACACTGATATTAACATCACATCTGAAGGACGTGCATATCTTGGTGGTTTTGTTGGAAGTAAGGAATCGAGAGAAAACTATGCGAAAGAACTTGTCAAGAAATGGTGTGAGCAGCTGATGATGTTGTCAAAGATCGCGCAGTCGGAACCACAGGCAGCGTATGCAGCATTTGTTTCTGGTTTTCAACATAAACTGACCTACTACATGCACACTCTTCCTAACCTTGGTCCATTACTGCAGCCAATCGATGAAATCCTAAACCATTATTTCATTCCTGCCATAACGGAAGGTCATCACTGCTCCCAAGACGAACGCAAACTCCTTAGTCTTCCTGCTCGTTTTGGCGGTCTTGCTATTCCCATCTTCTCCCAGATCGCCAAGAGAGAATACGAATACTCCGAGAAAGCTAGTCAACAACTGACCGAGAATATCAAATCTCAGACTGCGGAGTACTCCTTTGACAACACAACTCATCACTCAACAAAGAATGACATCAAAAGATCGAGAAATCTGGAGCATGAACAGACACTCGCGGAGTTGCAAGAAATGATGAACGGGGACCAGAAACGTGCAAATGAGATAGCCCAAATGAAAGGAGCGTCAAACTGGTTAACTTCACTGCCAGTAAGGGAAGAAAACTACGTCATCAACAAACGAGAATTCTACGACGCTATTCGCATGAGATACAGGTGGCCGCTCAAGTTTATTCCAACTACTTGTGCTTTCGGGGAAACGGTTCTCGGTAGATCATGCATTGTCCTGTCTCAAAGGCGGCTTCGTACATCAACGCCACGACAAAATCCGCGATCTTTTTTGGCAGACGGCTACCGAGATTTCTAACGACGTGGAGATTGAACCAAACCTTCTCCCTCTCACTGGTGAGCAACTCCATGCAACAGCAAACGGGAAAGATGAAGCAAGACTGGATATCAGTACTGGTGGCTTCTGGCAACGTGGTCAACGAGCATTCTTCGATGTACGGGTGTTTAATCCTTTCGCTCCTAGCTGCAGAAACCAGAAGTTATCAACTGCTTTTTCCGCCAACGAACGTGAGAAGAAACGCGCCTACGCCGAAAGAATTGTAAACATAGAACATGGTTCGTTCACACCCTTGGTCTTTACACCTTATGATGGAAGTAGCAGAGAGACAGAAAGATTTATCTCTGTACTGGCATCTTCAATCGCTGAAAAGCGCACACTTGCTGTCAGTATAACAACGAACTGGCTCCGCTCAAAGATATCCTTCGCTCTACTTCGCTCGGCGACATTATGTGTTCGAGAATCACGCTCATTGAGAAAGAAACAAACTTTTGACGCTGCGAACATTGAAATTGCCTCAGCCATAACCAAGCTGACAACATACTAACAATCTTAATAAAAATTCAAAACTTTTGGACATTTAACTGTTAAAAAAAAGAAAGTTAATTTTGTAAATATCATGTTAAAACTTGTTAATTTAATAAATATTTCTTGATATTAAGAAAAATAAAAATTAACCAAGTACGTAGCTTCACAATATGAAAAATACCAAAATTCCTGTCCGACCATATCGAATCGAAGCTCTTCCACGCTTCAGCGACTTTGTACGCCATGTAGAATATTTCAAAACCATTCGCTTAAAGAAGCCAAAAACAGAGTGGAAATATAGGCGTACATATTTGGCAAAAACTTCAATCGAAGTGGAAATGATACAATTTTTCATTAAATTTTCATTTGTTCACCCTCTACTCTACTTCGAAGAAAGCAAGCGCCTAGGGGCGGCGGAACATTTTTTTATTTTTTGGGGGGGGGGCTAAATTTAAAAAAAGTTTACCGTAGTTTTTGACTAAGTGGAAACACAATACGGATATATGCAATTATGCATATAGATCATTTGATCTCATGACTCATTGACTCATGATCGATGAATTAATGAGCAATCTAAGCAAATTATTGACAACCAGTTATAAGCTGCAAAAAGATTGAAAAGATCAATATACGATCTGCGCAATCAGCACATAAGCAGTGACAGTGTTAAATTTTGTCTGACTGGAGTAAAACATAATATTAAGCATTTTAATGATTTAAAAATGTTAACCGAACTAGAAATACAATTGTATTCCAGAGTCGACCATACTCACGCTTTGTCACAAAGAGAAAAAACACAAGATAAATGCAATGCTTGCATCAGAAGTTTTTATTCTGTCTTATTCGAAATCGTGGGTTAGAATCAATGGATGATTCCAGCTATAGGTGAAATTTTGATCAAGACAAGAAGAACGAAATCCATTACCATAGCTGGAAAGAGCATCTTAAAATTCTGTATATACTGTATTTGCATTACGCGGAGAAAAATAACCATTTTTGAGCCGAATTGAAAGTGGTTATTTTACCGCGCGTAATACAAATATATACAAAATTTTAGAACTTCACAGGGATATATTTTCTTTATTTTACAACATTTAGCAACCAATCTTTGCAGTTTTACTCATTCTAAGATGCTCTTTCTACTTGTGGTGTTGGATTTCTTCCTGCTTTGATCAAAACTTTGTCTATAGCTGGAATTACCCATTAGGAAAGTCTGAAACTTCTTCACTTAACTTTTATTTGTCCCATTTGCTAAATAACCACAATGGCCAATACTCTGACTTTGTAGTATTTACTGTATAGATAAAAGATATACACTCAGGGTGAAAGAAAATCAATTTGCATTCACTTGATCACAAAGCAGGATATTTTCTTTTGCATTTTAGCTGACGAGCAGTAATTTGCCGACTTCGTAGTTTGTATAATGTAACTAAACTACAGTATCATGCTTTGCGATCCGCAATTGGCTAATTGTTTGCATACACAATTAATTGTTTTGATCTTCTAATTGTTTTACACTGTTTATTATTTTGTTAATATTCAACCACTTATATTTACACCATAACCAATAACCATATGTCATCATAATTTAAATGTACTGTTGAATGTACACTTTTTGTTTTATGAATGTTTTCCATAGTGTTACTTTGTATTGATGTTCAGGTTCAAGTTTCTAGAAGGCAACATGACTCCGTATTGTAAATATGGGATCAACATCTGGTGAAAAAAAAACTACAACATGCAGAATTTAAAAATTGGCATCCCGATGTCCATGCGATACCTGATATTTGGATACTGGATATCAAGACTTTTAACATATCCATTGGGATAGTTAAAAAATTTCTCTGCTCAGCAGATTTTCTTTCGAAGAAAGAAAACTGAAATTGAAATTTGAATTTAGCTTTAATGGTTTGATACTGTTAACTAGATTGTCTATTATCCAATTGTGGAATACTAGGTTTTTTGGGATCAAATCTTAAGTTACTATAGTATCCCATTCAATAGTGCTGAAAATTTCAAGCCCTGACATAATGTATCTATATGGGTTCATTTACAGTTCTACTGTACAACCAACAGAAATGGTTAAAGAGACATTGTAATCTTAAATTGTAGTGCAACGTACTAGAAACATAAATATACTGGATTTAATATTTACTGATATGGCTGACTGCTATGAGATCCCAGAATGCTAGCCCCACTTTAAACGTCGGATTACAACGTTACTAATTGGAAATCCAAGTGTCATATAGAACAAAAAGGTAAAACGGTCAAAATCAACGTGAGAAAAATTCGGCAGCAGCAGTTAGAACAGTCCGATGGTTTATTGGCGAACTATAATTGGTCCCCGGTCTTTAGCACCTCTGTTATTAATGGAAAAGTTAATACTTTTCTTCAAATTACTAAAAATATGATTTCTGAACACTTTCCGGAAAAAACGGTTTACTTAGAATTTATATTAAGGATAAACCTTCTGTGACAAATAAAATAAAACGCTTAATTCTTGGAAAGAATATGGCCTAGTAATATTTAACAAATATAAAACATTTTCCGTGTTGATATACAGTTATATCAACACGAGTGGAATTGGGAAAACGAGAAATTGTATGGTTTTCATACAATTTCGAGTTTTCCCAACTTCCACGAGTGTTGATATAACTATATATCAATACGGAAAAAATGTTTTATATTTTTTTTATAATATATATATAGCAATTAATGTCAAAAACCCGAAGGATCAGAAAAATTTCCGTGTTTACAAGCGGCGGAAAATTTCCCGTGTTGACATTGAGTAATATCAACACGGCCCTTAGCCAATCAGCGTTCAGAATTTACAAATGCTATATTATAAATGTAATTTATAATCAACATTCGGTGGCAATTGTCGTTTGTTTTTGAAAACAGAGCCAGATCTAACAGCCAGGTATTGGACATTTTCCAACAAAATTATGGTTTTCCAGATGAAATACCAAGCTGATTAGACGTTTTGTCTGGACAAGAAATAGCACTCGGTTGTCACAAAGGAATGAGTTAACCATAGGCTGTGTTTGTTCACTCACCAAAAGATACAATTGTTAAATTTAAAATAATTTAAAATTAAACTATATATTGTACAGTGTTTTTCATAAGATAATATTTTAATACTAGCATGCATAATTCACCCAATGGATGCTGGAAGTCAAAATTAAATGAATAAAAATAAAATGTACAATCACATTTGAACGTTTTGCACCAAATTTCATTTTGGTCGGACATTTTTTTCCAATCGATATGTGAATGTTATTTCAGGCTCTGATTAAATATCATTCAAGCAAGCGTGTACAACAACAGCCGTCGTCATCACTCGTAAAAATCCTCATGGCAGGCCTGGCTAAGTAGATTTCTTGTAGGACGTTTTGTCGCATTTTATAATGTTAGTAGTGTTGCACCAACCTACCCATATACCTATTGGCCACAGGGGACCGGAAACTATTGTTGTAGCGTACTTATAAGACGTGTGCGCAAGAAAATTGGTAACAAACGGGACATACAATTGAGTGGTGGACTTGATTTGTAAGTGCTGTGATAAAAGTAGATATTAATATTAAATATAGATATATCTGTATGTTGTTTGGTCAAGTACATGATGCGTATGACAACACCTTCTCAGTCACTTGGACAATCAGATGCGATATGATATATCCGATTAACCAATCAAGTGCTATGTCTTGTGTAAAAAAATTCAGGAATGCCACTACATTTCTACGGTCTGTGTCAGTGTAGGTAGTGACGATAACAAGAAAGCTGCGGATTTCTAGGAAATTTGTATTTTTCAACTACCTGAAAAATACAAGCAGAATTTCGACGTTTTGAATTAGGTCCCACGCTTTTGCTGCTAAACTGCCAAACTATTATCAGATCTCAGCATAATTTCTCGCGCACCAGTCAGAGTTAATCCTGAGTTAATTCTTGAATGTCTTGACGCAAAAACATGACGCGCTTTTTTTGCGAAATGAAGCATCCACGGTTGTGTTAAGAGGAGTTTCTGTATGTTACGTATAACCACGGTTAATAGAAGGAGGATGGTTAGGCTAGCCGGCAAACTTCAAAGGGGGCGGCAAACTATGTTGAGCACAAAGGAAAAAAATGTCACGTGTCGAGATAGGGGGACGCTTGTGTTGACATTTGTAGGAAATTATATTGAAAGTGTTGGGTTAATACTGATAATAAAAGCATTTTTGTATCTTTTGGAGCATTTATAATAACGATGGATAGTGATATCGAAAGAGGAGTGATTTCTTCATCAATGCAGACATTTGAAAACAGTAATAATAAAAGCAAAGAGAGTTTTCAACGATCGGAAATGACGGTATCATTTGGAAGATGAACGAGAGAGCGAATACGTAGATTTATAGACGAAGATTTTTATAGCATCGAGGCCCCTGTTACTATTAGCGGAAGAAAAACAGTTGTATTAAATACTGATTTTTCTGCTGCCCAATCGACAGTGAGAAGTCTTTTCAGTGCTACAGTATGTGTGCGACAAATTTGCGGCCTTAGTGCCAAATTACAAGGCATATAGCTAGTAATTCAAAACACTTTACAACACATGGTCATGGGGAATCTATTGTACGAAGTATCTATGTGTTTATATATAAAGGTGCATTTACTTCTTTAGTTGATTGACATTGTAGAAGCTATACGTTGTGAAAAGTACATTGCGATCATAGGAAACAATGTGGGATGCGATATAAAAAAGTCGGGTGAATTCAACCGTGCCAAAGATTATATTATCGAGTATGAAAACGATGCAAAACGTGGTAAAGCCTTTGCCTTACTGTAAAACAGTAGTGAAAAGAAAGTGATATTATATATTTTATAAAATTTGTAACTATACAATTCATTTATCTTCTGCAATAACTCTGTTTTCATATTCAGATTAATTGAACCATAGGTTTGAAAATATAACAATGGGTTGGCAAATTTATGACTCCCAAAACTAATATATTATTTACAAATGCCTCTATGGTTAGTTGGTTAGGTTTTCACAATTACACTGCTATCATGATATAGTCATCATACAGGCCTTATCAAACCAAACAATTCAAACCTGGTTAAGGAGCTGATTATATGGAGAATATTTCAGCATGGCTGAGTTTCATCCTGGTTTCCCGGCCTGAAATTAAGAAATTTCAGCCCGGCCTGAGGATAAAATCCTATTAAAACACAGCAAATGATTGCATGACAGAAATTTCAGCTGGTGCTGAAGTTTTAGCCCGGTTGGAGCTACCCGGGCTGAAAATTTCAACCCGGTCGGCCGGGCTGAAAATTGCCATGTAATCGACAGGAAAATTCAACCCAGGTTGAAAAAACAGCATTTAAGTGGCTTTATTTCTGTCTGTTCTACTTTTAAATGCAACCACACTCTTGCAGAAGTCAATAGATATGATCAACATTTTAAATTCTCCAAAGAAGCAGAATACCTCCATTTTGAGACTTCATTCTTTCGGCCCGGGCTGAGATTTCACCCCGGTTTGAATTGAAATTCTAACTCACCCCAGGCTGAACTTTGTCATGTAATCGTGAAACAATTTCAGCTCGGTTAACTGGGTTGAAATACAGCCCGGGCTGAAAACTCCCCATGTCATCAGCCCCTAAGACATGTTGAACCTGGAAGGCAGGTTTTGGCAGGCATCCCTGCATGGCCCTAATGAATTAACCATTAACTTGCAATTGCTTCTCTTTCAAAAAAATATAATGTAGGGTGCATTTGCTGGACACATTGCCAGCTCACCCACTAGTGAATTAACAAGCGGCACTGCCAGATTGCCAATGACAAGTAAAATTGGGTGGTGTCAGTATGGAAACAAAGTATGGGTAAAGTAAACAAAGTAATCTGATAAAAATTAGAACAAAACATATGTGAAAATGGTTTAGAATCTTCTTTGAATATTAAACTTGTACATTTCCAGTCAATGTATACAATTTGCTATTTCCAGTGTATTTAAATTCAGTATCTATAAGTATCTACAAGTGTTCAACCCAGAGCCAATAGGCCATACGATTTTGCATGCCAATTTCACGACTAGTCAGTCCTCTCAGAGTGAGGTCAGAGATCTGCCAATTGAAGAACTTCACCCTGCAAATCCCAAATTGAATGAACAACCATCCCAGGGTGGATATCAATAGTTGTTAATAACCGATTAACAGCAGTATTCTTCCACTGAGTAAAATTTTATTGCTTTAGACAGAGTAAAATGCCAATTTGAAAGTAGGTGCATCTGCATGCATTTCCAGTTGATGTGTAGATTATGTAATGGTGATAGACAATAAATATTCTTCAACAGTCTTAAATTACTATACTTACTGAAGTATGTAGTTACAGTAGTCTGGTACAATGTTATAATTTCTAAAGAAGTGAATAATGATGAGTTGAAATTTGCATAGCGGGTCCAAATCGTCGGGCTAGCTATGCCACTGCTAGCAACTGAACATGCAGAAATGCCATACAATATAACATAATGGTTTTTTGAGGATGCTAATTTGAAAATTCAATAACAGATATCAGTTTGACTATTCCAAATGTTACTTTTAAATTAATAGTCCACTACACAGTACACATCAACTAGAAATCACTATCAATGACAAGTAAAATTGTTTGGAGTTGTCTTGTTGGCAGAGCAAATACCAAAGTATGCTGCATAGGCACATGATTTGGGCTGATACGTTTGTAATATTAGTTCAATTTACTTCATTTGTTTGTTTCGCATCAATACGTTCGCACCGACGTCAGATCTCTTTAATAATAGCGGCCTTAGCAATTCTACTCGAGCTGTTCTCCATCAGTCGTCCTAAAAACACTGGGTATTTTATCGTTCATTGTGTCTACCGCAACTCTCACGACCAAAAGCAGAGCAGTTTTTCCCGGACAAACTCCAAAAGTATCGTCTTTAAGTATGAAAATCCTCGAACACTTGAGAATGGAATATGTGAATATACACTTAGTATAGCGTGGTTATATCTCAAAACCAATCAACAATACCTTTAAAACTTGTGAATACGATCAGATCATTCCGAACTTCGAAGTATAAATCAAATCCGTGATCAAATCAGGCGTACAATCGAAAATACGTAAATTTATACATCACAAAAGCCATGTCAACAATATATTTTCTATTACACTCCTGCGAAGCGTCCCCCTATCTCGTCACGTGACATGAATAAAATGAGAACAATAACATATTTGTCACGTGGTTCAGCTAGCCTAACCATCCTTCTTCTATTAACCGTGGTATAACACAAGCTCAAAGTGCCTCAAAACTAATGCGTATAATATACCACTTGCGGTTATGACCAAATTCTAAATTTTTATTTTTCGATCGTTTCCCAATGGACAAAGGTGCTTATGATTTATCTATATAGGCCTAATAATGCTAAAATGAAGAATTTTAGATGGCACGCGCGCCAAAGAAGTTCAGTAAGTTTTGCTTATATTGCTGTAAATATGGCGTCACTTTTGAAGCATCATTAATAACTGTATTTCAATTGACAATATTTCCCTATTATTTTATGTTTCAATTTTCCTATTATTATAAGATTTTCGGTTTTGAACAGTTTTCCTCGCAAAAACGCGACATAGAGAAAATTGCTCCTTGATAATAAAGAGAATCAGATGCGTTTGATATATCCGACTAACCAATCAGATGGGTGGTAAGCCGGTGAGAGGCAGTGGTAGTGGAAGTCAAATCTGAACCTCTCTAATATCATTTGTAGTGTCGAAAGTTCTCTCTGAATATCTCAATAAGCCTAAATGCTGATGTTGTAATGTGTATGTGTATTGTTATATTTCAGTCGGTGGAGACAGTTGGTCAAACAACGGCTACTACTACGGATTTTCCCAGTCGACCACAAACCGATGATATTAAACCAAGTATCACTCTTATACCGCAACCGAACGAAGTGATGAAGCCATCTTCCTCTACTTCAAATTTACCTTGTTCTGCACTCAGTACCACTGCGAGATATCCATTTAAAAAGCATTTCCTCTCATGTCTACACTTGAAAAGCTTTACAAGACGGATCCTGAAGGTTTACCATTTATACAACCTGTTGATCCCAAGATGTTAGGATGTATGGTAAAGAATTACAATGTATCACTTGCAAGGCATATATTATATATATATATATATATATATATATATATATATATTATATATATATATATATTATATATATATATATATATATATATATATATATATATATATATATATATATATATATATATATATATATATATATATATGCCGTATATATATATATATATACTGGCATCACATTCAGCCAAGACTGAGTTTAACCAACCCTAAAATTGTCAGCCCAGATGGACATGATCGCTCGTTTCGTTAATTGACGACTTTTAATTATGTTACTGCTGTAACATTTATGCATGTTACTGCTGTAACATAAAGGATTGATGAAACAAAGGTATCAGCAAAGTGCAAGACATTTTCAGCCCGGTATAAAATTTCTGTGTGATTACACGAGGAAAGATTCTGGCCGTGGATGAGGTATAGGCCTGCCTGAAATTTTCTTCATGTAATCGAACGCTGTGTTGTAATAGGATTTTTCTCTCTTTGGCCGGCATTAACACCTTCGTCTACCATACTTACCCGTTTCGATGGTGAGGTGTTAGCCCAGATGACGGCCTGCGATAACTACTGTTACATGGACGTAGGTTAATTAAAGAATATGCAAGTAGTATCTTGAGATGACCACCTCAAGGGCTAACACCTTCACATCAGTTAATGGTGGAAATTTTACAAGAATCACGAAAACAAGACAAAAAGTAATTGCTTTTAAACGTTTGCTCCGCACACGATAACTGATCATGCCGAACACTCTACCACTCTCAAATCACATACCCCCCACCCCCCACCCCCCACCCCCCTCCCCTCGATCATGTGGCGTGCTGGCATAACGTCGTGAAATTCCTGCTCTTGTTGAACAGGCCGAGACTCCCTTGCGTTGAAAATTCTTCATGTAATCAGTCTCTTGGTTAATTATACAGGGTGTATAAAAAAATGAACAGATTTGAAATTGCTCTCAATTTGCAAAACAACTACTAGTATCCAGTTTTAGTTTCTTTGAGTACTTATAATGAAAACATCTTCTCCTACTCAAATATTATAAACCAGGGGGAGTGTGCTTTTTCCAACAAATTAAAAATGGCTTGCGCCCGAGATTTAAAAGCTTTAATCGTATTTTGAGTTAATGGGTGAAAAATGTGTTGAGTGTTTAATTGCTCAGTTTAAGTCCTTTAACTATTCACGCAAACTTACATTTTCTCCTAAAAAATCAGCCTTTCGCATGCTTAATTAATGTGTTTACCTAATTTGCTTATGTCAGTATGCAAATTAGGTAAGAGCATTAATTAAGCATGTAGCCTGCATAATGGCTCAGAGAAAGTAGAGCCTGCACGAAACCCCCTGCTTTGCCATTTCCGCCCACTTAGCCTGCGGGCTACGCCCACTTTAAACAGATGTCAAAATTGGCCAATCACACAGATTGTTCACGTTTGCAAATTTACTTATCAAAATGAAATATTGAATATAGATTGCTGTATGTTCGCAAATTTCAAAACGAAATACTGTAATATACGGAAGGCGGCTAAAGAAAATTGAAGTCTGTGGGAATAGCGCTAGGCTTAGGGCAATCTCCATCGTTGTCACAAGTAGTTTGCAGTCCGTATCTACGATATTTCGTAGCTTTCTCGCACACGTACAAATATAATTTATAGTTTCGACAGCGGTCATCCGTGATGTATTAAATGTTAAAGTTTCGAGCGATGCTGATAAGAGAATATTAAAGGTGTTTAATTAATTAAAGCCATCACTTCACAGAGAGCAAGTCCTGTTCATAAGACATAAGCATTTATAGCGATTCTCTCCTGGCACAAAATTATTAGCTACAAAATCATGAAGAAAAAATCTATTTGTCGTCGATGAATTTATGAAAACGAACACGCTCATGAGTTGTGAAAGAGGCGCTGCTAACAGACAGCAATCCAACGAAGACACCACAGTCAATATCTCTAGAGCTTCGTGAACCAAGTTCGTAAATAACTTTAATGTTCAACCGCAAATCGTGGCCTTTAAGTTCTTTTGAATGCAAAACTCAAAGAAACGCCTCTCAATAATACATCCGCCGTGTTTGTATCAATTTTAGCATAAATTAGCATATTTTTTTCATTTTGAACCAATCAGATTTCTCGTCCTCTGAGAGAACGAGTAAATACAGCAAAGCAGGGGGTTTCGTGCAGGCTCTACTTTCTCTGAGTCGTTACGCAGGCTATTAAGCATGCGAAAAGCTGATTTTTTTGGAAAAAATAAATAGTTAAAAGGCTTAAACTAAAGTAAATTGTCTGAACTTTTGTACAATAATTAAAAACCCAGCAAAGTTTCCATCCATTAAGGTGCATGGTTCCATTACACTTTTCATCATTGGGGAACTGATACCTAATCTTGAGTTTTCGCGCGAAAATGTAATTAAATATAAGCAAAAATAAATACAACTTTTTCAGTCTAAAATCCTAACCACAAGTCATGTTTATTTTGATGTTTTGAGTCTTCCTTGTTCTCATTTTTTTTCTCAAAGAACATACTTCGTCCTGATTTACCTCTAAACATTGGATAACTAATCTTTCTAGAAGACATTTTAAGGTAAAAAAGCAATGTTTAACGTTCAATTAACTATTGTGGAAACTAGTGTTACTAACAGCAAAGGAATTCAATGAAACGGCATCGTGCGCTTTCGCTCAAACTGTTTTAAATTGTCAACAACAACATGAAAACACACGACTGAAAACGAATATAAAATAAACTATGTAGAAAAGCCAAAAATTTCACACATGTGACACATATCTTATGCCAAACGACACAATCACCTGTTTTCTTGGCGTTATTCCGAGTTAGCATGCAAAACTAAAGATATTTGCATTTCTAAGCAAGAAAACACAACATATGTTTGATATTTCGACGAGACTAAAAACTTTTTTGTGCTTGTTTTTCTGGAGATGAGCCTGCGAAAACATGTACGCGCATGTCAATTCATTGATCTTGCAGAGCTCGAAAAACTTTCGGCCAAGCGAGTGAGGTACCACAATAACACGGCGTCATTTAAAATTTTGCACAACGATAACTTCTTTTAAAACAAATAGAATATCAAAATTTTAAATAAATCTGTACATTGGAAAACTAATAGCTGTTTTGCGAAAATTGAGAGCAATTTTAAATCTGTTCAGTTTTTTTTATACACCCTGTATATATGTATTTCAAATCCATTCAGGATTATTTCGACATCGTAAAGAAGCCGATGGATTTATCCACAATCAAGAGGAAGTTGGACACGGACATGTACAAGGATCCTTGGGAAGTATGTGTCCTCCATCTCCAAAAATCTTTCAACTAGTAAACCTTTCAACTTTACAACATCGAGCGAGATGCTTTATTTATATATATATATATATATATATATATATATATATATATATATATATATATATATATATATATATATATATATATCTATATCTATATCTATATCATATCTATATATATATCTATATCTATATATATATATCTATATCTATATATATATATATCTATATCTATATATATCTATATCTATATCTATATATATCTATATCTATATCTATATCTATATCTATATCTATATCTATATCTATATCTATA